TCTGTCTCTAGATTTTTTTCCTATTTCAGACATTTCATATTAATGGAACTATGTAATATGTGGTCTTTGTGACTGGTTTATTTCACCTAGCATGATATCCTCAAGGTTCATCAATGTTGTAGTATGTGTCAGCATTTACTTCATTTTTAAGCCTGTATGATAATTCCTTGGTGCACGCGCGCGTGTGTGTGTGTGTGTGTCTGTGTGTGTGTATAACTTTTTGTTCATCCATTCATTCGTTGATGGGGACTTGGGTTGCTTCTGCCTTTTGACTATTGTGAATAATGTTTCTATGAATGTGAATATAAAAAGATCTCTTTCAGGCCTTGCTTTCAGTTCTTTCGGGCATATTCTCAGAAGTAGAATTGCTGGATTATGTCATAATTCTATTTTTAATCTTTTGAGGAGCCATCATACTGTTTTCCATAGTGGTGGTACATGGTACATTTTCCTTTTAAGAAAAACATTGTATGCTACTGCAAGATGATTATATTGAGATAAAAAGCTTTTCATATACAGTTCAATACAGTAGGAAGTTTTCTGTTGCTTCTTCTTGAGTGATTAGTGGATGAATTCCGGAGAAATGTACAGTGGATCATATGATTCTTTCAGTTTGAGCTCATGACATTTTTCTCAAGTGTTTTTCTTGTTTTTAGCTCCTTTTTTTTTTCTCCCGAGACAGAGTCTTGCTCTATCTCCAGGCTGGAGTGCAGTGGTGCAATCTTGGCTCACTACAACCCCTGTCTCTTGGGTTCAAGCGATTATCCTGCCTCCCGAGTAGCTGGGATTACAGGTGCGCACCACCACGCCTGGCTAATTTTTAGTAGAGACGAGGTTTCACCATGTTGGCCAGGCTGATCTCGAACTCCTGACCTCGTGATCCACCCACCTTGGCCTCCCAAAGTGCTGGGATTACAGGTGTGAGCCACCACGCCCGGCCTACATTTATTTTTTACATTTGGCCATAATACTTCTAGTAGTAAATTTGCCCACAAATTTGCTTAACTTTAAGTGTGAAAATTGAAACCACAATGTTTCAGTGTAAGTTGCCTACACTCCTGGTTTATACATGTGGTTCCATTGTGCTCTATGAACTTGTGAGGTTTTTGGAGGAAGTTGTTTAAGCCCCCATGCTTTCAGAGGGATATGATGGCCTTGAATATTTTCACAGTGACCTTGGGCTAATCTGGAATCAGACCCTAGCTCCAGAATCTGAGGATGAGCTGTGGCTGGGGGCTCTGAACTTTCAGTGACACACTTGGAGTATGAGGATAACTTTCTGTTCTAGAGGCCTAGCATGAGGCACATCCTGTGTAGAGATTGCTGTGGGTTAGGATAAGTGTTGATAAGGACAAAACCTTTTGGGAGATCCCAGAGTATAAAACTCAGAGATTTATTTGGTGACAACCTGCAAATTGATGCTTTATTTTTCTTTTGGCCTACTGTATAATTTCAAAAATTGGCCCACTTCAGAGGATACATTCTATATTTGATAGTGAAATCCATGCATCTTTCCTTTAACCTCTTCAAGTAAAGTTAGTGATACTTTTACTTTCGGTGAAAGCATAAATATATTTTAAAACGTATTATGTAAATCCTATTTTATTGAGAACTCTCACTGGAATTCTTAATTGGATTCTTCTTTCTAATTGTTATGCCTTTAATTTTTTTTTCTTGCCTTAGTACATTGACTCTAGGCCCTTTATTATAGTGTTGAATAGAATTAGTGAGAATGGACATTCTTGCTTGATTTCCTATCAAAAGTGCATTATATTAGGCTGAGGAAGTATCTTTCTATTTCCAGTTTGCTGAGTTTTCTTCATGAATGAGTATTCAAGTGGTTTTTCCACATTCATATGAGATAATCTTATGATTTTTTTCCTTCATTCTCTTAAGTTGATGAGTTACACTGACCGGTTTTTCTAATGTTAAACTGCCATTGTATGTTTCTGGAATAAAAACACTTGATCATCATCAGGTATTATTCTTTTGAGGTATTGGTAGATTCAATTTGACAATATTTTGTTGACAGTTTTTACATATGTTCATGAGGGATGTTGCTCTGTCATTTGATTTCTTGTTATGTCTTTATTAGTTTTGGTTTTAGGGCTATGTTAGCTTCATAACATGAGTTGGAAAGCATTTCTCCTCCTCTGTTTTTTGAAAGAGTTTTTGCATAATTACTATTAATTCCTCTTTGACTTTTTGATGGAATTTACCGGTGAAATCATCTGGGTCTGGAGTTTTCTTTGTGGGAAGTCTTGTGATCATACATTGGATTTTTTCTTTTCTTTTTCTTTTTTCTTTTTTTTTGACAGACACTCACTCTGTTGTCCAGGCTGCAGTGCAGTGGCACAATCTTGGCTCACTGCAACCTTTCCCTCCCAGGTTCAAGCAATTCTCCTGCCTCAACCTCCTGAGTATCTGGGATTACAGGCGCATGCCACCATGCCCAGCTAATTATTGTATTTTTAATAGAGACAGGGTTTCACCATGTCGACTAGGCTTGTCTTGAACTCCTGATCTCAGGTGAGCCACCTGCCTCAGCCTCCCAAAGTGCTGGGATTATAGGCATGAGCCACCATGCCTGGCCAACAAAGTGGATTTCTTTTTTTTTTTTTAGACAGAGTCTTGCTCAGTCACTCAGGCTGGAATGTGGTGGCAATCTTGGCTCACTGCAACCTCTGCCTCCTGCATTCAAGTGATTCTCCTGCCTCAGCCTCCCCAGTAGCTGGGATTACAGGCACACACCACCACTCCCGGCTGATTTTGTAATTTTCGTAGAGACAGGGTTTCACCATGTTGGCCAGACTGGTCTCAAACTCCTGACCTCAAGTGATCTGCCTGCCTCGGCTTCCCAAAGTGCTGGGATTACAGGCATGAGCCACTGTGCCTATCAACGATTGGATTTCTTTAACAGATAAGGGACTATTCAAGTTTTTATTTTTTCCTGAGTCAGTTTTGGTAAGATATGTTTTTAAAGGGGTTTTTCCCATTTCATCTGACTTGTTGAATGTATTGACATAGAGTTGTTTATAGTAGTCTCTTGTTATTCTTTTAATGTCTCTTGGGGTCTTTTCTGATAGCTTCACTTTCATTCTTGATGGACAGATATGCCATACCATTATTTTACATAGCTGGGCTAGATGCTTTTCTGGACAGATCTCATTGCTGTACTGATTGTTCTAGCACTATGATGTATAGATATATGCCATGCCATTATTTTACATAACTAGGCTAGATACTTTTCCGGACAGATCTCATTGCTGTACTTGATTGTTCTAGCACTACTGTTTTGCTCTTTCTGTCAGATACTTGCAGCGTACAGTAGGACTTTTCTGTTTTTGAAATTTTCATTTTACCATTTTATTTGAAAGATCCAAGACCTATATTAATGAATCCTCATGAAAATGTAATTAAGTAAACACACACAGAAGAATCTAAAAAGGAAAGGAATGGTTTCTTTAAAATTCACTCTTTCTACTATTTTTTTTTTAAATTTTGTTTTGGGTAATGGGATCATTTTTACCTCAGACCTCAGCATCACACAGTAGGTAACACCTGCACATGTACCTTATGAATATAAAAGTTGAAATTCTATTTAAAAATTTTGTTTTGGCTTCAGTTTGGAACAGTGCAGGAACCTGATAAATGCCAATATCTAGACCTAGGTTGTTTGATATGGTGTTGCTAGACACATGTGGCTATAGATGGAGCCCTTGAAAAGTGGCTAGTCCAAGTTGAAATGTTCTCTAACTGTAAAATATTCACTGAGGTTTGAAGACTTTGTATTAACAAAAGAATGTAACACATCTCAATTCTACCTAATAGTTACAGGTTTAAATGATAATATTTTGGACAGTTGATTAAATAAAATACATTATTAAAATTAATTTTACTTGTTTCTTTTGGCTTTTAAAAATGTGGCTGTTAGAAAAATCGAAATTGCACATATGACTTGCATTGTTTTTCCGTTGTACAGCACTATTCTAGACATCGTAAAATGAATTGTTCTTCTGATCAGTCTCCCTTAAAGCAAACTTTATTAACTGAACTCAGATTTATCTTTTTTTTTTGAGATGGAATCTCACTCTGTCGCCCAGGCTGGAGTACAGCGGCACGATCTCAGCTCACTGTAACCTCCACCTCCTGGGCTCAAGTGATTCTCCTGCCTCAGCCTCCTGAGTAGCTGGGGCTACAGGCACATACTATCACACCTGGCTAATTTTTGTATTTTTAGTAGAGATGGGGTTTCACCATGTTGGCCAGGCTGGTCTCAAACTCTGGATCTCAGGTGATCTGTCTGCCTGGGCCTCCCAAAGTGCTGGGATTACAGGCATGAACCATCATGCCCGGCCCAGATTTATCTTAATTTGCATACTTGGATATGTTGTTTTAAAAGTAGTGCTGTAGACTTTCTGTAAATAGGATTTAAAAACTTTTTATTGTGGATTATTTCAAATACATATAAAAGTAATGAGAATAGTATGGTATAATGACCTATCATCAAGTTTTAACAGTAACTATCAACTCTTGGTCTCTTGGTTGATCTTGTTTCATCTTACCACCCTCCCACTCACCCCACCCCCGGCCTAGATGGCTTGGAAGCCAATAGAGTATCTTTTTAAATGCCGTAGAATGAATAATTACTTAAAGTGCTAAATTCTTTTGCAAAGTGAATAACTGTCCCCTGATTTATCATGATTTTAAAAACGTGCATTAGCATGGTGGTTTACCTAAACTGAAGCATACCGATTTGAATATTTAAAAAAGATTGATCTTTACAAAGGATTACAAAATGTGCTTTTGATGTGTCATCAATTTTAATACCCACTTGATTTGGTTGTCCGTGATTTCCATTTCATTTGTCTAAAAATTAAACAAAACCCCAGTTCCTTTTGGAGAAAATTTTTTATAAGCAGTTTAATCATATAATACTGTAGTAATATAGCATTGTTCTAAGTCTTTATTTTAATGACTATTGTTTTCTTTTTAATAAGGTTTCTCTATACTTGTTTAAAGAATTGCCTTTGTATCTTTGGCAACCTTCTGCATCTGAGATAGCAGTGATTCGGGATTGGTTGTTGAATTACAACCTGACAGTGGTGAAGAATAAACTGGCCTGTGTTATTCTTGAAGGACTGAATTGGGGATTTACTAAACAGGTATGTGTTCAAACCATTCCCTGGAGACTGGAGGTTGTACATGCATCTGTTTCAAAGAAGGATTTTCTCAAAACACTAACATTTTTGAGTACCATTTGCAAGGTCTACAAATTCTTTTAGCTATGTCAGAATTTAGGATTTTCTTTAATTCTCTTTAGCAGAATGAGCAACTATTAAATGAAGATAAATTGTTCCACATTGAAAATTCTTCCCTTTTTCCTTATTCATGTGTATGTGTTTTTATTTTTTATTTTTATTTTTTTGAGACAGAGTCTTGCCCTATCACCCAGGCTGGAGTGCAGTGGCACGATCTTGGTTCACTGCAACCTCCGCCTCCCAGGTTCAAGCGATTCTCCTGCATCAGCCTTCCAAGTAGCTGGGATTACAGGTGCATGCCACCACGCCTGACTAATTTTTGTATTTTTTAGTAGAGACAGGGTTTCGCCATGTTGGCCAGGCTGGTCTCGAACTCCTGACCTCAAGTGATCCGCCTTGCCTTGGCTTCCCAAAGTGCTGGGATTACAGGCATGATCCACCGTGCCCGGCTGTATCTGTTGTTTTGTCTCTGGCTACTTTAGTTTCTCCTAATTGCCTCTTCTGCCTCTGGTTCCTTTTTCTCCTGTAATTTGTCTTGCATGTCATTGTCAGAGTTGTTTTCTGAAACACTGTGCATTGGGTAACAGTCTGAGCTCTAAGCCAGCCTGCTTGGGTTCTAATCTCAGCTCTGCCATCTTCTGGCTGTGTGACTCTGAGCAAGTTTCCTAAACTCTTTGGGCCTTGGTTGCTTATTTGTAAACATTCATGTTAATGAGTATACCTCAATATCTCACAGGGTTGTGTTTTGAGATGGAGTCTCACTGTGCTGCCCAGGCTGGCCTCGAACTCCTGGGCTTAAGAGAGCCTTCTGCCGAGTACCTGGGATTACAGGCGTGTGCCAGTGCGCACAGAGTTGTTGTAAGGATTAAACAAACGAGGAAATGCAAGATGTTTAGGATGATTCTTGCCACACATTAAGTACTCAGTAGTGTGGTTATTATTAAGGGTTTGCTATGTAGCATGTATCTTCAGAGATACATTTCAAGTGGTATTCACTGTTACAAAACCTTCCCTGCCTCTTTACCTTGGACCTTATTTGTTAGCTCCTCCATCAAAAGATTAACATTTAAAAGAGAAAGTGGTGGAAAACTCAGCCCTTTACACCTATTTGACAGATTTTGTTCTGAGCAAGTCGTTTAGTCCTGGAAGCCATCTTGCGTCTGGACAGCATGATACCGGTTGTGCAGATAAGGAAACTGAAGCCTGGGAGCTTTTCTGCTGAGGTGTCCTTGACCACCTGGGACTGCCCATAGATTCATCTGGGCCCTCTCTCATTGACATGCTTGTAGGCAAGAGCTACAGGGAGCTGTTTTCCACCTTCACATTCTCTGGCTTGTGAACAGAATCACCCAGGCTCTCCTCTCGAAGAGCTGCATGAGAGTCTTCCCACGCCTTTGTTAGAGTTAGGAAAGTCGTCTTTCTGAAAGGTTTAAGGAATGTATTTTTTCAGATTGCAAAGGAAGATAGAGTAAGAAATTTGAGAAGCAACTTCAGGCACCAGAAGGAATATTTTACCTGTGTTGCTGAGTGTCTTATTTAACTAATGATGGAACAGGAAAAGGGAATGTAGACATAATTTATTAAATATCTTTCTTTCTTTCTTTTTTTTTTTTTTTTTTTGAGTCAGAATCTCACTCTGTAACCCAGTGGCACGATCTTGGCTCACTGCAACCGCTGCCTCCTGGGTTCAATCAATTTTGCTGCTTCAGGCTCCCAAGTAGCTGGAACTACAGGCATGCACCACCACACTTGGCTAATTTTTGTATTTTTAGTAGAGACAAGGTTTCACCATGTTGGTCAGGCTGGTCTCGAACTCCTGACCTCAAGTTATCTGTCTGTCTTGGCTTCCCAAAGTGCTAGGATTACAGGCATAAGCCATCACGCCCAGACAGTTTATTAAATATTTTTCTGTTTTAATTAACTAAGCATCTGCCTGGTTCGTGGCATTGCCCTTGACCTGAAGTGTTTGTAGAGATTCTTGGGTGGAATGGGGTATGACATTCAAAGATAACCTTTTTGGCTGGAGTAGAGGTTAAGTCAGGTTCAAACCTATCTAGGTGCAGTGTTATGGCCCTTGACAGTTTTTTGCCTAGTTCTCATTTTATAGCTTCATTGTGTGGGATGTGATTTTTGGAACATTTAGCTTCTGCATCGAAAATCCTTTTTTACTATTCTGTCTAATGTTTTGATCCAAAGTTACAAAAACAAAACAAAACCAAGGTTCTATGTTTGTGACTATTTTTCTCTTTAAAAGGGTACCCTTCATCTGCATCAAGCAGTTCATGCTGAAGTGGCTTTAATGGTTCTTGAAGCTTACCAGAAGTACCTTGCACAGAAGCCATATGCTGGGATTCTTTCTGAAAGTATGAAGCAGGTATTTCTTTCTCTTCTGTATTGGAAACATGAATCTTTATCTTCCCAAGACATTTAGAAATAAAGATGATAAACTTATACTATTGACCATTAGGTATCCTAAGAACATTTCTGGCAATTTAAGATGTTATAATTGACTTCTATGGTTTGATAAAGATTCTTCTTTAAATAATAGCCTTTATATAACTATTCTAATGTTACAGAATTTGAGTTGAACTACAGTGGTGTATTAGAGCTTGGTTGTACTGGCTCTGGAGAACTGACTTAAATTTTTAGGAACTTTGCAAGCCAGGTTATTAAACTATTGGTAGCTTAAAATTGACCATGGTGGGAATTTTTACACCACCAAAATTGGCAAGTGCTATAAATGGGACCTCCGTCTGATGGTTAAACTTATTGATCAGCACACTATTCATTGAGTATCAACTTTTATGTCACTTTTCTTTTACATGAGCTAAGATCAGGTTCACAGAGTGACTAGTAAGTAAGCAGAAGTTGCGAGTGAGAAATTGCTTTGATGTAGTGCAATAAACATTAATTGGAGACCAGCAAGTAGAATATTCCTCTCTTTTGAGGGCATTGTTGGTCACAAAAGGAGATGAGTGTAGGGGCTTACTGATTTAATTTGTGTGTGACTAATGTGGCTTAAAATAAATAATTGTTTTAGGTTTCATATTTGGCCAGTATTGTTCGATATGGAGAGACGCCCGAGACCTCATTTAACCAATGGGCCTGGAATTTAATCTTGAGGCTAAAACTGCACAAAAACGATTATGGAATACAGCAGAATTGTCCAGCTGTTCCCTTCTCCATCACTGTGCCTGACATGACAGAGTCACCCACGTTTCATCCTCTCTTGAAGGCTGTGAAAGCGGGCATGCCCATTGGCTGTTATCTAGCCTTATCTATGACAGCTGTGGGCCACAGGTACAGTGTTGGGCTGAACCACTAGGGTTACTGAACCTTATAGATAGTTCTAGAATTTTATCTTCCATATCCCAAGTTCTGAGGCCTCTGTCAAACCTATTGAGGAGTAATTAGGGCCAAATAATAATCCTTGATTAACAGCTTATCAAGGGGAGATGCTGCCCAAATTCACATACTTCAGATTTGTACAAGCAAGTCACCTTGTTACGTTATGAAGAGAGCTCTGCTTGTCTCCTGGAGTGCAGTGTTCATGTCAGCAGTAGATTCATACTCTCTTCCTCAGAATTGTGATCAAATAAAAATAATTGATCACCTGTAGTAAAATTTTTGAAAAATTGATGGCAGCCCAACTCAGGCTTCTTTTTTTTTTCTTTTTAATTTTACTTTAAGTTCTAGGGTACATGTGCACAACATGCAGGTTTGTTACATAGGTATACATGTGCCATGTTGGTTTGCTGCACCCATTAACTCGTCGTTTACATTAGGTATTTCTGCTAATGCTATCCCTCCTCCCTCCCCCCACCCCACGACAGGCCCCAGTGTGTGACGTTCCGCATCCTGTGTCCAAGTGTTCTCACTGTTCAGTTCCCACCTATGAGTGAGAACATGCGGTGTTTGGTTTTCTTAACTAGAGGTCCCCTTAACTGTCTAGAAGAATGAAATGCCTGACCAGGTCATATGCCTCTCTGATATGAGCCCATAGCTGTCTGTATGTCTTCCACTGGAGCATTTATCACACTATATCATAGTTAATCTGTTTAATTTTCTCAGAGATTCAGTTATATATAACTTCTATGAGAGAAGTGCCCAGGAACGGCATTTGTCTTGTGTTACCGTTTTATCCCTAGTGACGAAGACTTTATCTGCTGCAGTAAATAACTGAATACATGAATGACTTCTCAGTTGGTTAAACATCCTTTTCTTTAAAGATTCTTTTCTTATGCATTAATTTTTTTCTAGTCTATTCATTTGTCTTCAGACTCTTTGACCTCTGCTTTCTGATTCTTGTGTTTTAGACTCACCGTAACTCTTTTTAGCATCCTCATTTCAACATCTTGTTCCACATTAAGTGTAATTTCAGTGGGATACCAGTTGCAATCAGCTGTAGTCTTCAGCCTTGTTCTGTGAAGTAGGAGAGATACAGAATTGTTTGATAGCTTCCCATGGGTTGTTGACAGTTTAGTTGAGATAATAGACAAATCAATCAGCAGTACTATAGAATATAATTGCAGGCTGGATGATATGTGGAGAACAGTGGTTCTCAACTTCTACTGTTCTTTAGATTTACTTTTGGAGCCTTTTAAAAATCCCAGTGCAGGGAAAAGGGTGAGAATCCTGGCCTAAATGGGCTGGGGGCCAGTTCTCTAGGTATCTCTAATGTACACCCTGGATTGAGAACTACTTAGAAGCTGAGCAGAAAGAATGTAAAGGAAGGAGAGATCAGTAGAGTGGGATACCTTCGTGGAAGAGCTGAGTTTTGGAAAGGAGTCTTAAATTAGACAAGACGTCTGTCGTAGTTTGGATGTTTGTCCCGCTAAACCTCATATTGACATTTGATCCCCATTGTTGGAGATGGGACCTAATAGGAGGTGTTCGGGTCTTGAGGGCTGATCCCTCATGAATGGCTTAGTGCCATCCTCTCAGTAATGAATGAGTTCTTGACTTAGTTCCCATGAGAACTGGTTGTTAAAAAGAGCCTGGCACCCCGCCTCCTCCTTACTTGCTATCTCACCATGTGACCTCTGAACTCGCCAGCTCCTGTTGGCCTTCTGCCGTGTGTGGAAGCAGCCTGAGGCTCTCACCAGACACCCAGTCTTCCAGCCAACAGAATTATGACTCAAATAAACCTTTTTTTCTTTATTAATTGCCCAGTCTCAGGTATTCCTTTATAGCAGTGCAACATGGACTAGGACAACATCCTAGGCTAATGAGCAGAGTGATGTTGTGTTCCTCTTACAGTTACTTAGTGCCCACAGTTTGTTGAAGATTCAGCTCAAGGGCCATTTCCTGCCACGTGCAGCTCCTGTACATTCTGAACAGCGCACTCACTGTGTTTTATTGTCATTGTATTCTCCCCCACTCCTCATGGACTGTTTGCTCTATTAAGGTAGGGACATTATCTTGTTCAATTGTGTATCTCCAGATCTTATACTTAGTAGGTATTCAACAAATGCTGGTGGGTTGAATGAATATGGAAAGGAGAGTCAGGTGTCTGAGTGGGTAAGGGGAGAGGTGGGGAAATGATGAGGAAACACTTCTCAGTGATGCCTGTGATCCATATTGGAGAATGGAGGTGATCAGGCATTTGGGCCAAATTATGGAGATATATGAAAGCCAAGTAAAAGAAGGTAGAATTGATTTAGAAAAGAGGAGACCTGATAAGGGTCCTTAGGAAGACACTCTTTATATTGTTTCCAGTAGCTCTAGTGTTATTAACAGTTTCTGCACTTTGGGTTTCCCATCTCTAAAATGGGAGTAATAATAACATCACACTTCCTTTATGAGGCTTAAGTGAGTCAGAACACATGTAATGTGTCTAGAACAGTGTCTAACATGATTCTCTTGAGTGCAGTTATCTGAACTTAAGTGTTTTATGATTTCTTGAATTTCTTGTATCCACTCTGGGATCATAGCTCTTTATTCACTGATACTGCTGTGGACTCTCTCTAAAGATAATTTTTGATTTGTGCTGATTACTAAATCTTGAATGGGAGTGAGAATGAGAATGAGCATTTCCTCTCGGGGCTGATCTCTCGTGTAAAACTCCATGGTGGGCATTTGGGATTACGTGTACTAGAATACAGAAGTAACTTAAAACAATCTTAGGTATGGGCAGAGTAGGCAGGGACGTAAGTTGTGTGTGAATATAATATTATGGACATTGCAGAGAAGGGTAGTCAGAAATTCACCCAGAATATTTCCCATCATAAAATCATCGATTTTTTTCTGTTTATTTTCATCTATCATTTTTCCTTTGATCTTTTAAAAAAGTATGTATAATTTTATATCCTTAGTTTTTCACTTTAATATTTTAAGTAGTTTCCTTGTGGCATAACCTTTGCACAATTACTTTATTTTTTGAAATGATTTTTTCCCCCAGAATTAAAGCGGTTATAACCAAACTGCAGAATTAGGAAAGTGGAGAAAAAGCCACTCGCTTCTGCCACTGTTGTACAATGACTATTTTGTTGTGACATTGTCCCTGTATTCCCCTCCACAAATAACTTTACTGGTAGTTATAATCACGAGTGTAAAATTTTATGTTTTATTCCCTAGTATCTTGATAGCAGAAGTGTTTTTCCACATTGCCTTTGGTCATCATGTGTATTATTTTAAAATGATGCAATAGTATTTCCAATTGAAAGGATTTTTCTAAAATTTCCTTAAGTTATTTTCTACCTCTGAGTTTTAGAGTTAAAAATAAACCTGAAAAGCACATCTTTACATGGATCATATTTTATATTTTTTTCCATATTTGAGATTATTTTTTAAGGATAGATTATTTGAAGTGAGGCAGAGAATAATAAACGTTTTATGCCAAATTGGTTTTAGCAGAATTTTGTAGTTTATGCAGGTCGAGTATCCCTAATCTGAAAACCTAAACTTTGAAATGCTCCAAAATCTGAAACTTTGAATTCTGACATTGCACTCAAAGAAAGTGTTCATTGGAGCATTTTGGAGTTTGGACTTTTGGATTAGAGATGCTCAGCTTATAAGTATGATTCGAGTGTTCCAAAATCTAAGAAAGCACTTTTGGTCTCAAGCATTTCAGATAAGGGATAGTCAACCTGTACTGACAGATTGAGCTCACTTTTGAGTCTCCTCTTTGCTGTGACACCTTGTGGGAATATCCAGACAAGGAGAGCCCCTGTGGTTCTCTTAGGAGAAGCTCTGTTTGAGAAACAAAATATGGTAGTGGAGGGTGCTTTGGATTAGAAATGTGCAAACTGAGTTCTCATTTTGACCTTACCGTAGGAAATTATGTGAATTTGGGCATGATACTTCACCTTCCTCATCCATAAAATGAAAATACAGATTAACTTTTAAGTTCCTTTGCAATTCTAGAATTTCTGTGTGAAGATTGGGGTCTAGTATTTCTGTGTGAAGATTGGGTATAAAACATGTGCTGGAGACCTGAGATAACCCAAGGTATTGAAGGCTCATAACTCATTGGAAGAACAGAATTTTATGAACCAGCTACCTTGTATATTCATTGCCTTTCTCTTTTTCCATAGCATTGAGAAGTTCTGTGCAGAAGGCATCCCACTGTTGGGAGTTCTGGTCCAGTCAAGACATTTGAGAACAGTGGTCCATGTCCTGGATAAGATCCTACCTTTATTTTACCCTTGCCAGTATTACCTTCTGAAGAATGAGCAGTAAGTGTGTTCCATTTGTGGCAGGAGACACTCTTAAACAGTCCAGCAAGTACAAATGACTGTGTCTTCTGATTTCTTAAGTAAAATAAAGGGAATGCTATTTCAACAGTGTATTATAGGGCAAAAATATTCTGCACCCCAGTTTAGAATGCAGGTTGATGAACAGTGATTCTAATAATGACTCCAGTTTTATTACCATGAAAGATATTTTTCCTTTTCATTTATTATAACTTTGAATTGCTTATTAAAGCTTATAAAGTATATGAAGGAGCAGTTTTTCCCCTGAGATTCTGGGAATCGTGCTTCTGATATTGAGCAGCAAATGGCTTTGCCATTGTAACAATAGAAAAGATTGTTTTTAATTGTTTACGGTGCATATAGTGCAGTGTTGCCAACAGATAAGATGCGTAGGAAGGTGGGAAGAGAACAACCTGTCTAGGGAGTAGAGAGTAAAGCATCTGGCTGGGGCCTCATGAAGAGTGATGAAAGGGGAGGTGAGGCCTCACCGCATGTGGAGAAGCCCTGTTCGGTGGGGACATGAAGTACATCCAAAGGCACAAGGGGAGCATTACAGTTTTCCTGTTGTGTGTCTTTTCAAGCAGTGTGTCTCCAACTTGGCCAAAAGAGCTTATTAAATATGGATTCCCAGGTTTCTCCCCTGGGGATTTTACTTTAGTAGGAATGGGTTAGGTCCAGGGAACTACTCACCCAACCCCTCAACCCCTTTTTAAGAATCGGCACCCTGGGCATGAGGCAAGTTTGGAAACTGAATGGTTTGGAAACATCTCTGCCTTTATTCGTGGAGGTGGGGAGTGAGGAGGGGAGAGTGGTGCCTTTGGGTCTTTCTCGTAATGCTGTTTAACTTGCATGTGTTTGTGTCGTGGATCTGTTCTTACACCTCTGTGGGTAGATAGAATTCTTTTTAACCCATGTTAAATGTGAAAACTTTATTCTTCTAGAGTCCCTTCTTAAATAGTGCTTTGGTCAAAAACTGGGACCAATTTAGGAATTTTTTGTTTCCTCGTAAGTAATTAGCTGGGGAAAATTCCGTTGACTCCTGATTGGAAGGTAAAGTGCATCCTCCTGTGTGCTTGGCAGGTTTTTGTCGCACCTCCTCTTGTTCCTACACTTGGACAGCGGTGTCCCTCAGGGTGTCACACAACAGGTCACCCACAAGGTGGCACAGCACTTGACAGGAGCCAGCCATGGGGACAATGTGAAACTTCTCAACAGCATGATCCAGGTGAGGGCCCTTGCAAGCCCCTGAACACACTTCTAGTGTTAGCACGCTTATGTTTTAGTCATTTCAGATTACTTGGCTCAGTGTGCTTTTGGCCAAGAAAGGCAGTAGATTTGGGCTTTGTAGTGGAGGTAAATATTATTTTATTGCTATTTTAAAAATGAGAGGCTGGTTGTTATCTTTCCCATCACATGAGCCTTTTCTCCACAGGCACACATATCTGTAAGCACTCAGCCCAATGAAGTGGGCCCCGTTGCTGTGTTGGAGTTCTGGGTTCAGGCTCTCATAAGCCAGCATCTCTGGTACCGAGAACAACCTATCCTCTTCCTCATGGACCACTTGTGTAAAGCAGCTTTTCAGCTGATGCAGGAAGACTGCATACAGAAATTACTCTACCAGCAACATAAGGTAAAAAACCTGTTAGAAAATTTATCTTTCAGTGATTGGCTAGATGTAGTAGTTTGTTGTTGTTTTTTTGAGACAGAGTTTCGCTCCTGTTGCTCAGGCTGGAGTGCAATGGCACGATCACAGCTCACTGCAACCTCCGCCTCTTGGGTTCAAGCGATTCTCCTGCCTCAGCCTCCTGAGTAGCTGGGATTACAGGTGTGAGCCACCACGCCCAGCTAATTTTTGTATTTTTAGTAGAGACTGGGTTTCACTATGTTGGTCAGGCTAGTCTTGAACTCCTGACCTCAGGTGACCTGCCCACCTCGGCCTCCCACAGTTCTGGGATTACAGGTGTGAGCCACCGTGGCTGGCCTAAGTATAGTAGCTTTCTAAAAAGATTCCCCCAAATACAGTTTTTAGATTTGGCTGTAATGCTCTGCCTTGGACTATTGCTGCTGGGGGACACATCCTTGAAATCTCTGTCTTATCAGAATCTTGTATTGTAGTAAGACAGTTGCTGATACTCTTGTAAAGGTCATTGATAAGATTTTTCTTAAAGCCTCCTCTCTCTGCTCCACATCTCCCGGTGTAGAATGCCTTGGGTTACCATTGTGACCGGAGTCTGCTCTCATCTTTGGTGAACTGGATTGTGGCAGGCAACATCACTCCTTCCTTTGTGGAGGGCTTGGCCACACCTACTCAGGTAGGAAACTGACTGAGATGACCATTTGTTAGCTTTGTGAACTTTAATCTCATGATCATCCTTGCAAAGAAATTACTAATAGTCTAAATTAACTTTTATTTAGCCCTTATTCTAGTATAAGTATACTTTTTCATTTAATCTTTGTAGTAGCCCTTTGCTGAGGTTGTGCTGTTGCCATTCCTGTTTTACAGAGGAGTTAACTGAGTGTTTTTTTTTTTTTTTTTTTTTTTGAGACGGAGTTTCATTCTTGTTGCCCAGGCTGGAGTCCAGTGGCGCGATCTTGACTCACTGCAACTTCTGCCTCTTGGGTTCAAGCTATTCTCCTGCCTTAGCCTTCCAAGTAGCTAGGATTACAGGCATGCGCCACCATGCCCAGCGCATTGTATTTTTAGTAGTCGGGGTTTCTCCATGTTGGTCAGTCTGGTCTCAAACTCCTGACCTCAGGTGATCTGCCCGTCTTGGCCTCCCAAAGTGCTGGGATTACAGATGTGAGCCACTGCGTGCAGCATGAGGTTTTTTTTTTTTTAAATTAAAAAACATTTTTGGAGACCAGGCCTTACTTTGTTGCGCAGGCTAGTCTCAATCTCCTCTTGTTAAGTCATTCTCCTGCTCCCAGCCTCCCTAGTATTTGGGGACTACAGGCACACTACTGTGCCTAGCTATAACTGAGGTTCAGTGGAATTAAGGGCTATCTCAGGAATAGACAACTCTTAATCAGACTCCAGCCAGCTGACTGTAGAGACTGCCCAGCAGCACTGCAGAGAGCTTTAGAGTAGGCACTGGAGCCAGACAGCCTGGGTTTCAATCTGGGTTCTGCTGTTTGTTAGCTCTGTGCCTTGGGCAGCTTGCCTACCTCTCTGTCCTCAGTTTTCTCAGTTGTCAAATGGGAATAATGATGGCACCTGTGTGTAAAGCATTTAGAACAGTGCTTAGCTCGTAGCCAGTGCTTACTGAGTGTTGGCCATTATTATTGTCATCAGCAGCAGCAGCATTATTTTTATCATTACCACCTCTTACACTTTGTGTATAAAATTATGTCTGTTTCATCACTTAAATCAGTAGTAACATTCTTCAACCTGTTACTCGTCTTACTTCTTGCTCTTCTTCCCACCTCTCATGGATTGAGCTGGAACAAACTCCTTGCTGTTAGCTAGACACATCCCTGGCTTTTCCTCTTTTTGTCTCTGCCTAGCGGATTCTCTTACCAGCATGCCTTTCCCTCTGACCTCTACATAGAACCTTCTCTGAGGTAGCACTTCACCTTGACTCAGTGCTTGCCACTGCTCAACTTCACCTTTTGGTTACTTACATATTAGTCTTGTCTACTCCAATAGATGGAAAACTTCTTAAAGACAGGGCCCCTGTCTGGTCCCCTTTCCTGTCTCTTTCGCACACAGATCTTGCCCAGTAAATATAGAGTGAATGAACATTTTCTTGTACTAAAGTAGCCTTTCCAAAGGAACGTAACATTTTCCAATGATCTATTTTATTTAAATTTATATCTGTGACAAGAATATAGGTGGGTATAAAAATATGTTAATTTTAGAAACTGCAAATATTTGCTGATTGAGATTGAGATAGGAAGAGAATATAAATGTGGAATATCAGGATGTATTTTGTCAGTGGGGCAAGCTCCTCCTTCCCCTCCCCTTTATCTGGTGTCATTGTAGGTCTGGTTTGCCTGGACAGTGCTCAACATGGAATCCATCTTTGAAGAGGACTCCCAGCTCCGGAGAGTTATTGAAGGGGAATTGGTGATAAACTCTGCTTTCACCCCTGACCAAGCTCTGAAGGTACAAATAGCAGTTCTGCATTTGAGTGGTAGAAGGTGGCTTACACTTTTGCTGATGGATTCACCCGTAGCTTTTGGGCTTTTGTGTCTTCTTCTGTTGTGAATGTTTGGAAAGCTCAACAACCAAACCAGTACTCAAAACTGTGTAATTGAAGAGTACTTGCTTCTCAAGTTTCATTTAACAAGAGTCTCAACCTAATATTTGAAGGCTGGATCATTGCACATGTGACAGGGGTTGCCACTGGCTCCCACATACATCAGAATTCCCTAGAGAGCTTGTTAAAAAGCAGATTCCTAGACCTCACCTTCTGAGATTTGGAGTCTCTGAGTCTGGAGTGGGACCAGGAGTTTATTTTTT